CACAAATAATGAAATGTAACTGCAAGTTCAAGGTTCCTAAGCTCGTACAATGCACATTTATTCACCTCATGTAAGAATGTCTATCTCTGATTGATTCACGTGACCTTGAACAAATTACCATGTATGCCGGTCGTACACTGCTTGGGTGGTGTAGTACAAATCATCAGGCAGAATATATCATTTATACCCCACCCCATGGAAAAAAAACATGCATCCACGGCAGTCAGTGAATCGTGAAGCAGTGGTTCAAATCGACTGGTCAGTTCCATGTTAGTGAAATATATGACGGAATTTCAGCTTGTTTTGATGCTATATTTACATGAAGAGAGAGATTTAAGATATTTTTTACCTAAGGTTATGTATTTATGTGGTTTTATAAAAATCTTTCTATGATGTATATTTTGACCCTCTAGATACATGTAACAGCGTCTCATAAGCCTGTTAAGGTTGGATGTATGTAAAACATTATGTGTTTATTTTATATGTATTTTATATCTTGTTTACATACATGTTCCAAACTATGTCTGTCTGTCTGTCTTTCTTTAAACATTCGTTAAGATAAATTATGTGTACTATTGTGATGCGGGGTATACGGGGATTTTTGCGTCCCGTTGTATCCACCTAGCCGAAAGCGTCAGCGACAGTTTGCTACTACTTATGATAGGAATTAATTTGACGTTTTTGTGTATCCAGTTCTTGTGTATTCTGTTATATTACATATGTACTGGTGAAGTATTAATAAAAGCAATGTTTTGCTTGTTTACCAAAACCAGATTCTCTGAGAATATAAATATGTTTAAACCATATGTTCAAAGTTGAAAAACAATATGGCATTTCAAGTTTGACGCATCCATGGTAGAAATGATGTCAAATGAGAAAATCGGAGCAGTGGACCCATGACACGGCTAGAGAATATCGGTTTTACATTGGCAACCTCTTGTGCTGTCTTATCTCTTATCTCGTATAAACCTCAACCCTCCCACTATATCTTTATGCGCCTTTCCTTTCAGACCACAATGAGGTGATTTAATGCCGATTGAATGGCCTTATCTTGTCAAGTGGCATTTCTGTACATAGGTTACACTTTTAATGTGGTGTTCAGGGTAAACATGTGACACGGAGACAGGCACGCACGCACGCACACACACACACACGACGACACGGAAACTCTCTCAGTCACACACACACTCTCTCTCGGACACACTCTCTCGCACACACTCTCTCAGATATATATATATATATATTATCTGTCAACCTCAAGCAAATTGGTTTTGCTACGTTCCAGCCTTACGATACCCATTTTGTTTGAAATTTTATCTTGGTACCCCCCAAAAGCGCAAAATCTGCAATAAATGCACCACAAACTTCAGGTAACAAAATATGCAGGAAACATTTTGTGTGTTTGAGATAGGTAGACGTCCGCTAGAATCAAACTTAGATATTAAAGTGGATAAAAAAGCTATTTGAAAGTACAATCGCTTGTTAAAGTGATTCCCCTTTCATGTTTACTGAAACAGCTTGTTTTGGAGACACTACCCACCCCCGTTCAGACGACGAATTCATAAGGACATAACTTATTCTAATGTTTTCACTTTTTTCACACATGATGCTAAAGGTTCACAGTAAATACTGAATGGTCACACAAGTGTCAACTCTCAGTATATTGTAAACAGGGCCAGCTTGAATATCTGGACACAATGTTTTTGAAAGACTATAATGGGTGTGTCCTTAAAAAAACAGCCCCGTCTAAACATAAATCAAGCAATCCAAATCTTTGAATGTTGATTATGACGGGAAGTCATCCAATACTATACTAACATATTTTATATGACATTATCTGAGGGCATACCATTATCCAAGAGGTACTAAATGACGGATCGTTTTTCATTTTCTGCATTTTTTCTAGAAATATTATCCCCAAATGTGTTGTGATGACTAATATCTCGTTAATCACATTACCGTGAGAGAGAGAGAGAGAGAGAGAGAGAGAGAGAGAGAGAGAGAGAGAGAGAGAGAGAGATGAGAGAGAGAGAGAGAGAGAGAGAGAGAGAGAGAGAGAGAGAGAGACTCACTCACCCTTACATTCGGTTACAGCGTTTGATATGTACTTGATTGTGACATTGTGACATTGTACTTTTTGCATGAAATTCAAAACCTTACTTTTCTGTGTCATATTGTTTCGTCAAACGTTATCATAGTATTGCGCGGAAATCTAAAATAAAATATTGATGTTATGTCATAAATGGTGTCTTTTAAATATATTTCAGCAGAGGTTATCAGTATTTAGATGTGTGCTGTATTGCATGCAATTCTTAGCATTCTGCCAATGAGCTACTTAATGGGCGGTTGAGTAGCCTTGTGGTTAAAGCGTTTGCACGTCACACCGAAGACCCGGGTTCGATTCCCACATGGGTACAATGTGTGAAGCCCATTGTGATATTGTTGGAGTATTGCTAAAACCGACGTAAAACCATACTCACTCACTATACACTACTTTAGATACTAACATTGCCACCCAACTCCACAATCTCACAAGGAAACTCTGTGTGTCGAGACAAATCAACAATTTGACGAAATGATTTGAATGAAAATGCGCAGACGTTTACCCTTTTGGTGAATTCAGGATAAATGTGACACATTATATGTTGGCTGTTTCTTACAAAGAGAGTGGATTTCATTCAAAGCTGTAACCTGAAACGTATTCCGTACAAAGGTAGTACAGTCTTTGTGAGCTGGTCCATGGCGACACACCAGCTCTATCGAACCTTGACAAAACACATTTTTAACGTGGTTAAACAGAATTGCTTTCCCACAGAGAACGTTGATTATCTACTTTTGTTCCTGACGTGTTTTATATCTATATGAAAGCATAATAATAATAATAATAATGAGGGTACTTATATTGCGCAATACTCCATACCACAAAGGGGCATGCTCAAAGCGCGCACAAATGTTTAAAAACAAACACATCAAAAAGTCATATGAATCAGTATTGTAGTAAATATGAGCTTGGAGAGAGTTACTGTTTATATCGACTGAAAAGGTGTGTTTTGAGGTTACGCTTGAACACTTGAAGGGATGGAGCTGTACGCAATTTAAGTGGAAGTGAGTTCCATAGTGCGGTTGCAACTGAAGCAAAAGAACGGGCACCAAATGTCTTGAGGTTGAATGATGGAGGATCCAGCAGGTGTTGGTTACTGGATCCGAGGGCACGAGCAGGAGTGTATGGTGTGAGAAGATCACACAAGTATGAGCCCAGCAGGCACATCAACGTTGTTTCAACGTTGAGAATAGGTTGATCCTCAACGTTGAAAATAGATTGAAAATAGGTTGTATATGAAAGTTTTTTTGACGTAGATATCCGACGTGGAATCAACGTTGAAGTTTGACCGATTATCAACGTTGAAAAAAGGTTGATCCTCAACGTTGAAAATAGATTGAAAATAGGTTGTATATGAAAGTTTTTTTGACGTAGATATCCGACTTGGAATCAACGTTGAAGTTTGACCGATTATCAACGTTGAGAATAGGTTGATCCTCAACGTTGAAAATAGATTGAAAATAGGTTGTATATGAAAGTTTTTTGACGTAGATATCCGACGTGGAATCAATGTTGAAGTCTGACATATTATTAACGTTGAAAATGGGTTGTTCCGTGGTTGTGTCTGGGAGGTATTACGCTTTCCTGTAAATAGACTCGCACTTCATCTTTAAACTACAATAAAGTAGCACCAAACTCCTGCATCCAGCTAAAATACCCCAAAAGCTACCTGCAATAAACAGTGTTCAAACAGAAAATTGCAGTAAAAATATTTACCTGATAAAATACTTGGTTCAAATTCCACATTCAATATAATGTTCATTTAAGTTTTATGTCAGTTGGACGTATAATTCCAGTAAGAAAAGAGTATTCCAAATTAAGAAAAACTATTTACTGTTGTATTGTTACCTTGAAAAGGTGAAAATTGTCCCGAGAAGACATTTTGTCTGAATTTCAGCTCTTAGACAGACCCCTGAATAAACACAATGCAATTACTTTCACCATGAAAGGGATCCAAGATGACCAGGAACTATACCTGAAGACAGCACATAAAACAAGTCACTTTTCATGAAATCTTTATGAACACACACGCACACAGAAAACATGGTTTAATGCATAATGTAAAACATCACACATGACATAGTCTGTAGGTGATCTCTGTTGTGCTAATAACACAATATCATCTGCATATAGCATCAAAGTGACATTTACGCCACCAATTTCAATCCCACAGTTCAGATTTTTCAACACAGTTACAACTCCAAAAACACAATTATCAGCTCCTCTTCGTTTTGCCACTCCCTGCCTGGCGGTCAGGTGGATACTTCAGAAACTTTCCTAACTCTTTCTTGAAATTTGCTTCGGATGCATTCCCATCTCATTCCCTTGAGATAGGACACATTCTGAAATTTTATATTTAAATACATAAATATGTTATATGGAAGATATATTGTCTTAAATGATTCAAGTATTTGTTTAATCAATCACTTGAAAGGTTCATTTCACTGCTGTAACTTGGCATGTGAACACATGAACAGCATCAATACAAAATATGACGAAAAGTCCAGAGCTCTAGATAAGCTTTTTACAATCTGGGTATTTTACCCATGGTGTCTGTTATAAATGGGTACTACTGATCTTCAGTGGGTACTCAAATTTTCCGATACCCACCCTTTTTTTAAAATGTGGGTATTTTCTGTCTGTAATTTACAAAATGTTATAAAAGATAACTATAGCCAGTTGTTTGTACTTCAGACATTAACATGGTCGATGTTTAAAGGTAAATACCCCCCAAAATGTGAAGTTTTAAGTTACTTTATTATTTGACTTGTGCAGTGACTAAATTGAAATACATGTCGGCATGAATGTTATTTTCAACTGGTTAACTGTTCGAACTCTCACAATAATATTGAATAAATGGAAGCAGGTATGGTTCACTTGATGGAACACTTGCTAATTGTCATTCAGTGTCACACGTTTTAGCCAATTTAGGAGGTCTGGGCTGGTAATCACAGAAGAGTCTGCCCTTTCTTCTTCTTTTTCTGAGCCAGTGTTTGATTGCAGGACGGGAATCAAACGACTGCAGAGAGGGACCAAGCATACTGAGTTTGAGGAGTAAATCCAGTTTTTCAGAACCAAGTGATGCTCTAAACTTATTCTTCAGTCGATTTTGTGTGCTGAAGCTCCGCTCGCATTCAACACTTGTAAGCTGCATACACAGAGCAATAGAAGCAAGCTTGGCACAGTTCGGCATTGAATCTTTGTGAAGCAGAATGACCCTTTTGCAGAGTTGTTCAGGTAGAAGTTTTGAATATGTTCCATTGATCATTCCTTTAAGCCTGGGCCATTCGTCAAGAAGTTTGTCAGGTTGTAGCAGGGGTCCCACCAGTTTAATGTGTTCTTCCAGACCTTGGTGTAGATCCCCTTCTATCACTTTGACCTCCTCCTGTGCACCATAGAGAGCACCAAGATGTGCAACAGCATCACCAGACTCCTCTCCAAAGACAGTGTTTACTGTAAGCGGTTTCAGAGCCATACTCATATCTGTGAAAATGGCAGTGTCTTCCTCCTTGAATCTGTTCTTGATATTCTTCATGAGGTTCTTCAGGTATTCTGCTCTGAGGGTCTCAAACTGTCCGTTCATTGTTTTAGCAAATAGCAACTTCTCTCCACCTACAAATGTTTCTTCATTCTTTGTTTCAATTCTGGTCTTCATTTCCTTCAAGCTTTGCCCATCATGAGCTTTCATGGTATCGACTTTATTGAGTGTCCCTTCAATAAGAGGCCGGAGTTCACTAAAGAGAAGGTTTTTCTTCTGGAGGCTACAGCTTAACACTGCCAACTCTGTGTGGACATCAAGGAGGAAAGCTATTACCAGTGCCACTTTATAGCTAGCAAAGTACTTGTACAAACCTTTTGCAACTGCATTTTTCTCAGCTGCAAATTTTGACAGTGTTGATAGGACAGATTCAAAACTTTCAAAAACTGCTTCAACTGCATTTTTCAAGCCTAGCCATCGAATAGAATGTGGTTCCTTGATTGTCAGTTCTGGCTCTTCTAGAAGTGTTTGAATTCTTCTAAGAGCAAGTATTCGTCTACTTGATGCAGATATAAAGTTGTAGAGTGAATTGAACTTGTCTCTGAACTTAACCATGAATTCAATTTTCTTAATTGAATCAATGCAAGCAAGGTTTAGCCTGTGAGCTACACAGTGGGTCTGGATGCAGAAAGGAGAATACTTGGCTTGCATTTGTTTTCCTACACCTGTGCGCTTACCCATCATAGCAGCAGCGCCGTCAGTTGAGAGAGAAACACATTTTGTTAAGTCAATGCCTAACTTTTCAAATTCTGCTGCTACACAGTTAACAATGGTGTGAGCACAACCATCATCAATAGGATGATTACATAAGAAACTAGTCACAGGGTCTCCAGCTTTCACATATCTGACACATATGCTTAACCTTTTTTCAACAGTCACATCAGTGCTTTCATCAAGCCTTATTGAAAATACTTCAGATAAATTAATCTCATTGACAAGTGTCTTTGTCAGGACATGGCAAATAGATTTTTGAATCTCTGTTACAGTTGACCAACTCAAGTTCTTGTACTTGACATCCAAACCATTCATTTTCTGTAATGACAACAGACCATTCACATGTTCAGATGGGCATTCTGATTTGGCAGCAAAATAAACAGTATTAAACAATATGGTGTCATCATTAGAACAAACGTAACCAACATCATCGCCTAATTCCTCTTGTATTATATCTGCCCCCCTTGTCTCTCTCCATTTTATCAGAAGCACGTTTGTGATCTTCACTGTTGTTATGCCTGATCAGGCTCGACATCTGAATACTTGGTGTACCATCACTAGCCCACACACTTGTAAGGGACAAACTTATCTTTGCCGACTGACAATAAGTGCAGCATAGTCTCATTTCATCAGATTGTTTATTGAAAGATAACCATGGAAACTTCATTTTCCATGCATCCTGAGTTTTTTTCGAAAGTTTATTCCCGTCATGTTTCTTTGCCGGTGCGTGTGTGACAGTGGTGAGCAAATCTGCCAATATTCTATCGACAGCAACCTCCGATTCAAAACAATTTCCAATAAGTTCAGCAATAATTTCTTTTGCGATGGCAGAAGTTTCAAATGATCGATTTCGAACCGTGACAAATGCCGAAATCTTACTTTGAGATGATGTTTTAGACGATGAATGAACACGCGACTTCCGTGAGGCCATCGTTGATAAACAATGAGTGTCCAGACTTTCTAACAATACGAGCGATTTCATTGGTCGGTATTTTTAGCAGAACTAATCAAGACGAGTGTTACATACATAACTAACTGCGTTTGCGCGATTGTTTCTTTCTGTAGTTCATAATACGAAGAGATACATAGTGAAATTCAATCGATAATCTACCCTATCCGATCGTAACATTTGACAGTTAGCTACTTTCTGTTACGCACTTGTTTTTTGCCGGTAAGTCAGCGTACGCAGGTTAGCAAGTAACCAAAGAGTTTCTGTAATTTCCTTTGCGTATTTGGGACGCTACAAATATATTTCTGTGCGTATTTTGGAAACTTAAATGCGTATTTTACGCAGATACGCAGCTTATCTAGACTTCTGGATTAGATGATAAGAAAACAAAATGGGTGGTGGTTCACAGGTCAAAGAACAAGTCTATTGTGGGAGGTCTCCCAACACCATTTGTTCTCAAACACAAGGAAGTATGGATCATGGAGTTCTGAAAACAATAATGAGCTCTCATAAGTATGCAATATATTATCTATTATCTACTCTCTCTCTCTCTTTGTCATTTGTACACTCATAAAACTCAGATAAATAACTTTTTTATAATTCATAAATGTTTACACTTAATCTCTTATAGGAACGCTTAGAAAATCTCTCATATAATGAATTATGTGTGCGTATTATCTGCGACGTCATAACTATGCTTCTCTGAATCATGAACAATAAAATAATGAGATTAAACTCTACATTGCCAGAAATAATCTATCATACCCTGAATAATAAGACATTGAATAACATCTCTTACAACTCCAATCTACACTCAAAAAGACTTAAATGTACCTCGTAAACAAACATCGCTGGCACGCAAATTCTTGGAAACTGCATCTCTGACTCTCAATTCCAAGAAATGGAAGTCCTATCTATTTGCAAAGGGGTGACAGGTGGCCAAAACATATTGAAATGTAGGTTTCCAATAATATCGCGTAAAATACATTTAAGAAATACGCACAGAAATATATTTGTAGCGTCCCAAATACGCAAAGGAAATTACAGAAACTCTTTGGTTACTTGCTAACCTGCGTACGCTGACTTACCGGCAAAAAACAAGTGCGTAACAGAAAGTAGCTAACTGTCAAATGTTACGATCGGATAGGGTAGATTATCGATTGAATTTCACTATGTATCTCTTCGTATTATGAACTACAGAAAGAAACAATCGCGCAAACGCAGTTAGTTATGTATGTAACACTCGTCTTGATTAGTTCTGCTAAAAATACCGACCAATGAAATCGCTCGTATTGTTAGAAAGTCTGGACACTCATTGTTTATCAACGATGGCCTCACGGAAGTCGCGTGTTCATTCATCGTCTAAAACATCATCTCAAAGTAAGATTTCGGCATTTGTCACGGTTCGAAATCGATCATTTGAAACTTCTGCCATCGCAAAAGAAATTATTGCTGAACTTATTGGAAATTGTTTTGAATCGGAGGTTGCTGTCGATAGAATATTGGCAGATTTGCTCACCACTGTCACACACGCACCGGCAAAGAAACATGACGGGAATAAACTTTCGAAAAAACTCAGGATGCATGGAAAATGAAGTTTCCATGGTTATCTTCAATAAACAATCTGATGAAATGAGACTATGCTGCACTTATTGTCAGTCGGCAAAGATAAGTTTGTCCCTTACAAGTGTGTGGGCTAGTGATGGTACACCAAGTATTCAGATGTCGAGCCTGATCAGGCATAACAACAGTGAAGATCACAAACGTGCTTCTGATAAAATGAGAGAGACAAGGGGCAGATATAATACAAGAGGAATTAGGCGATGATGTTGGTTACGTTTGTTCTAATGATGACACCATATTGTTTAATACTGTTTATTTTGCTGCCAAATCAGAATGCCCATCTGAACATGTGAATGGTCTGTTGTCATTACAGAAAATGAATGGTTTGGATGTCAAGTACAAGAACTTGAGTTGGTCAACTGTAACAGAGATTCAAAAATCTATTTGCCATGTCCTGACAAAGACACTTGTCAATGAGATTAATTTATCTGAAGTATTTTCAATAATGCTTGATGAAAGCACTGATGTGACTGCTGAAGAAAGGTTAAGCATATGTGTCAGATATGTGAAAGCTGGAGACCCTGTGACTAGTTTCTTATGTAATCATCCTATTGATGATGGTTGTGCTCACACCATTGTTAACTGTGTAGCAGCAGAATTTGAAAAGTTGGGCATTGACTTAACAAAATGTGTTTCTCTCTCAACTGACGGCGCTGCTGCTATGATGGGTAAGCGCACAGGTGTAGGAAAACAAATGCAAGCCAAGTATTCTCCTTTCTGCATCCAGACCCACTGTGTAGCTCACAGGCTAAACCTTGCTTGCATTGATTCAATTAAGAAAATTGAATTCATGGTTAAGTTCAGAGACAAGTTCAATTCACTCTACAACTTTATATCTGCATCAAGTAGACGAATACTTGCTCTTAGAAGAATTCAAACACTTCTAGAAGAGCCAGAACTGACAATCAAGGAACCACATTCTATTCGATGGCTAGGCTTGAAAAATGCAGTTGAAGCAGTTTTTGAAAGTTTTGAATCTGTCCTATCAACACTGTCAAAATTTGCAGCTGAGAAAAATGCAGTTGCAAAAGGTTTGTACAAGTACTTTGCTAGCTATAAAGTGGCACTGGTAATAGCTTTCCTCCTTGATGTCCACACAGAGTTGGCAGTGTTAAGCTGTAGCCTCCAGAAGAAAACCTTCTCTTTAGTGAACTCCGGCCTCTTATTGAAGGGACACTCAATAAAGTCGATACCATGAAAGCTCATGATGGGCAAAGGTTGAAGGAAATGAAGACAAGAATTGAAACAAAGAATGAAGAAACATTTGTAGGTGGAGAGAAGTTGCTATTTGCTAAAACAATGAACGGACAGTTTGAGACCCTCAGATCAGAATACCTGAAGAACTCATGAAGAATATCAAGAACAGATTCAAGGAGGAAGACAGTGCCATTTTCACAGATATGAGTATGGCTCTGGAACCGCTTACAGTAAACACTGTCTCTGGAGAGGAGTCCGGTGATGCTGTCGCACATCTTGGTGCTCTCTATGGTGCACAGAAGGAGGTCAAAGTGATAGAAGGGGATCTACACCAAGGTCTGCAAGAACACATTAAACTGGTGGGACCCCCTGCTACAACCTGACAAACTTCTTGACGAATGGCCCAGGCTTAAAGGAATGATCAATGGAACATATTCAAAACTTCTACCTGAACAACTCTGCAAAAGGGTCATTCTGCTTCACAAAGATTCAATGCCGAACTGTGCCAAGCTTGCTTCTATTGCTCTGTGTATGCAGCTTACAAGTGTTGAATGCGAGCGGAGCTTCAGCACACAAAATCGACTGAAGAATAAGTTTAGAGCATCACTTGGTTCTGAAAAACTGGATTTACTCCTCAAACTCAGTATGCTTGGTCCCTCTCTGCAGTCGTTTGATTCCCGTCCTGCAATCAAACACTGGCTCAGAAAAGTATGTTTCACTGCACACATATTAGATTGCAAATAATGAAAACCTACCCTTTGACAATAATAAAAACATCATATTCAAATTCTACAGCTGACCAAATACCTGAAGAGTGTGTTTCCCAGCAATAAACATCTCTATATATCTATAAATGTATGACTTCTGTCCTCTCGCGTGCTATCTTGCATCCAGCTGTTTACGGCGAAAAACAATATGGCGCCAAGCAAGGGAGTGCTCATTAAACTAAACATCTCCGGGAGAAATCATTGTCAATTTTTTCTCTTAAATGATCAACCTTAATATATAAATGAAAATAAAGACCAACTATTATCACCAAAAAAGACCAAACATTATCACAAATATTCAAAACAGGTGGTAATGAAAGAGCATTATCATCTTTCTCTTAAACTTTGTGGTGGATATACTGGAAACAAGTGAAATGTTAAAAACGTGTTACCTTAGCCTTGCTCCTTTTATGTGATCCACAAAATTGCTG